AGTCTTTTTATTATTTTTTTTATTAAAAAATTAATAAAAATCGGCAAACTACCTACAACATTTTTATTATGTTTTGTAAATGCACCAATTTATTTTTGTCTTTTTATTAAAAAAATAAAAAAGCATTTGACAAACTACCTACAAGGATTTTTTTATATTATGTACAAGCACCAATTAATTTTCTTTATCTCCAGTCAAAATTCTCGAAAAAATTATTCCTTTTTTACTATGGAAAATAATCTAGCTAATGTAAGACTTTTTTCTATTTAGAGACATAGCAATTACGCAAATATTTAGCAATTTCTTCATTTTTGTTGTCGTTTTCTATCGGTTTCTGTCTTATTTTATTTCGAGTTCTTCTTTTGATAAGAACAATGCTCATTGTATTTGTTACACGAAGCAGTTTGGTTTCCTGCTAAGAATTACCCATAGCAAACCAACGAGTGGTGTATGAAAAAATTTTTATAACAAGTGCCAGAACAATGGGGATGCGTGAATGTGGGTGCAATGATTGTAATTATTATAATTATTACATCAGATGCAATTTTATTGTTGTGGCGAAGTCAACAAACCACGACGGTACAACATTGGGACACGAATTCGTTCACTGTTGACATATGACGCCTGACGATCATAAAAAAAAGGAGACATAGAAAGTAGAAGCTTCCAAGACTTTCAGGAAAGAATCTTCGCGCAAGTGGGTCAACGACAATTTCTTATTAAATGAGTTAGTTTCCTTTCTATCTGATACTGACCGTGAAGAACATTACCAAGTGTGTACCCAGCAAGACTATTTATATATATGTACATATAAATCATTTGGCCATTATTAGTAGTAACTAATAGAAATGATAGGCAAGNAATGTGTTAGTTTGTATCTCGCAATATTTTTATAAAACAGTTTTCTTTATTAATAATTTTAGCGAAAGTACTGACGCATTTATATTATTATATATTTAATTAATTGGCTAATGATATTCTCCGCTGTTCTGCTTAATTCCGGTTAGGTCACAAAAATTACAGTTTAATATAGAAATGTTTCAAAACAGTAACTATAAATTCATAAAAAAAGTGAAGGGTTTAAATTTCCCTTATTTAAATTCATCATCTACTTTGGTTTCATTCTAGTATTAATTTCGCTGTCTAGTTTTCACATCCTGCAATTAGCTGACCTAAATAGCCACAACCATATGTGTTGGAATGTCAAACTTAGTTAAGTGCAAATTTATTTTTAATTGAATTGAATTGAATCCTTTCATTCCACTCATCATTACAATAATGAAATCACTGAACATTCCAATCAAACTCTGCCATATCCTTTCGATAATTCTATGATCGTTTAGATTCATAGTTATAAAAACTATTCATAAAAAGCAGACATAATTAAAGAAAACTACTTAAATTTAAAACTAAGAAAACAATAACAACTACCAATTAATTGGATGATAACTTGCGTTCGTCACAATTAATACAGCAACGAATCTAATTAAAAAATTTTCATTTACTTTAATCAAATTTTGAGATTATATGTTAAAACATTAGTACTGAAGAGAATAAACTGCTACCAAGAAGATTAATTAATAGTACATATTATACTACAATGTTGAAATGGACCCGCATTTAATGCATATAATAATTAATACGGATGTTGAAAAGTAAGAGTTCAATGTTGTAAATGAACACGGATATAAGCATTTACAATGGAAATAAAGAAAGTACACGCTTAACTAGTCAAATCCAAACCTAAATCTCGTATGATTCAACACTATAATAAAAACAAGCGCATCATCGTCGTGATTATATTTTACGACTTTACCTGCAACGTTACCGTAATAAACTTTTTAAAAATTAATGGTTTCGGTTACCGCATTCTTATCCGTTAAACGGTGAAAAATATGCAACGCTCATCGATACTTTTTGTTGTCCGTTTTTTAGGTTTGTGTCTTTGTGTGTCATATGAAAATTAACGGTACTTATAGGCAACTTACTATAAGTTCCGGTACGTTAAACATCTTTCTAAATAGGCACCTAGATATAACAGCACTCTAAACAATAAAAAGAGCACAGTTAAGACAATAATCCATAAAAGACAAATTTTGGCCGTAGCGCTAAACATTGCAATAAATATGTATGCATGTAGGCGGAATGCATATACAAAGGTCAAGCTCTTTAAACTAATGCTTCATGTTTATGCACACATAGCTGTAAACATGCATCATTCTAACAGGACTAGTACAGCTATAAAGCGAAACAATTATAGGTCTAACATGCTTAATTAATAGCAATTAAGTAAACTAAAAGAGACTCGCTCAATAATTACCATTAAAACATTTCACATCAAACACGTGTTTTGGACGCTTTTAATACAAGCATTATTATTGATAATGACTCATTAGAAGTGAGCGAAACACGTGTTTAGTGATAATTAGGGTGCCTATTTTCAATGTTTCTGTAGAATGTACTAGCAGGTATATATACAGGGCAGAATATAATTCACTCCGGTTAATGACAATTTACCCAAATGTGAAAAAAGGACAATGAGCCTGGCGTAGCGAAGCATCGGAAATGTTAAAAGTTTTGGTCAAAGAAATTTATTGATATACATTTGCAATGAATTCGAACTACAAACGAAAAATAAATAATAAATTATATTCTTTAGAATGTGTAGAGAAGCAAAAGGATTGTCCCTGCTGGCTCTCTTCAGTAGCAGCCTGATACTTAACACCATTGCCTACGCCTATCCTAATCAACAATCCGAACGTAATTTCATACCAGCCAGAGTACCACAGTTGCCATCAGAGAGGATAGAAAGAAAATTCGCGGAAAAACCGAATGCCATTAAAAAAGTTGCTCTAAGTGATATCGATGACATCCAGAACAATTCAATAGAAAGTTCTGGAGGAGGAGGATTCTCGTGGTCAAACATTTTCGGTACGCAAGAATAATATTGAAAACTATAAAGTTCAAAATGCACACGACATTTACTTAATAACATAGGCATTTTCATTTATCAGGTATGGTAATGCAGATGCTTTTCAACCCAGGTGGTTCTCAAGGTCCCAATAAATCCGAAGGATTGAATGATGGTTTAGCACCGTCTCCCTGGGCCAATTTGCTATCAGTTGGATTAAAACTTCTTACTGCATTCTTAGGAGGTGGTGCAGCAGGAGGCGACGGTATTGATAAGGTCGACAATGGAGGGTCACAAACCCAGGTAGGTACATCTCATACATACCAAAATATTTATCACCTCTCACTCGAAGAGCTTTTATTAACACCCGTAACTTGTTGTTAGTGTACAGTCAGTTACATTTTAAAAATATGGGCGACTTCTAACATTTTCTTAATCAATTTTATAATAAAAAAAAAACAATTTGATTTAAACAAGTATTGTGACACACCTGTAGCTTTTTCCTCTTTACACATGTAAATAATAAAACAAAAACAAGGCATTAGTAGTTGCTTATTGGCTTGCACAGGGAATAATTGCTGCGATACTGTCTACACTTATGGGGGCTAGAAATCCTGATCAAGTCAGCACCATTGCTAAGCAAGCGGGGGAGGTAAGTTCCCACTTCAGTAAATCAGTACCTACTCCCATTGTTTGCATGTATCTATCGTATAATATCAAAATACTTAGTTCTTAATTTATGTCTTTTTGGCAATTAAACCTTTGTAATTTTTGGCTAAATCTTTGGGCATTTGACTCAATTTTCAAACCTCCTGATTTCTAACATATCATTCAAGAATCCTAATGATTCTTTCTAGTTCTTTAACATCGTCGTCGATCTTTTGGAAGCTCTACAAACATCATTCTCGCATCGATCCAGAAACGCCCGAAATTTCGGCAAAAAAGATACCATGAGTGACGCTGCCGTCGCTGGAATATCCATGATGAAAGGGTACGTTCGTTCCATGTCAACAGCGGACAGCAAATGTGCACAAAAGTATATGTGCGATGCAAACAGAGAATGTTCAACTGACATTGGACAAGGATCGATATTTTGTCATTTGGGAGCGTAAGTAATATTTTTAAATAAATATTTCATACCTCGAAATCAAATAGAAGTCATGCTCCCCAAATACCAAAACAATCATGTGCTTCCTGTTAGATTTATTCAATTTTTACAGTAGCCTTTAAAGCCTAATTAAAGACCTTTCGTGAAACAAATTTATTTAACTAATTAGTCTTTAATTAGCACGACTATTATTAATTAACCACCCGCTCACTACTATATCGCCTACAGTACAACTACAATAGTGCGATCTAGGCAACCCACTAAACGTCTCTTGAAATTTGTTCACGTGTGGTGTGTTGCCTACAGGTAACAGTTTGATATCTAATAATGCACAAAATCACTGGATAATATCAAGTGCAAAGCTGAAAACAGAAAGCTAAACACAAAACAGAAACCATAAAAGTAGACGATGACTCACAAAGAGAATCGTTGTTGCTTTCTTTTATTAATCATCAAAGGTAGTCAGTTGTAATATTAAAGTTGTTTGCCATATTTCAGATACGCAGCCAGTTTTCTAATGCAACAAACGACAGGCAACAGTTTCGATATCTTGTACGAGGCTGGAAGGAGAGGCAGGTCAGGGGACGATTGTCAGCAAGCCTTCCTTGAATGCAACGAAGTCTGATTGTTAACGCAAAGTACTTAGTCGTTTTATTTAACACCGATACAGACTTTTTTAACTTATCGTTAGTGCTTCTTTTTAAAAGACTATTTGTTATCGTCGGCCTAAAACTCCATTAATTTATGTCAATATTCCGAGTAGATTTACAGTAAAAGAGAATGTTGTTTCGGGGCGCAAAAGTAGGAGCTCACAATGAGATTGTTTAAAAAAAATATTTCACGGAAAGAAAAGTAGAATTACCTTCCGCTGGGAAGAATCTGGCTAATTTAAACATTTATCTAAGGGGCGTGTTAATTAAATGTGCCTAATGAATTTGTACCTTAATTAAACATTAAACGAATATAATAATCATCATGAAAACTGATTCGACATCCCATGTTTTTGGAATTCGAATAAAGAGCGCTGCAAGTTAATTTGTGTCTAGGACAAAAGAGTTTAAGGACTGCAATAATTTATTTTTAACTATTTATAATTATTTATAAACTTTTATTGTTTATTATAAATGTCTATTACAACAAATAAAGTTATTTGATTTATTTTTGGTGTTTTAATTTCTCTATTTTCACTCAAAAGTAGCTCATTATGGACGGACTGTCCTACAATCATCATTGCACTACGTGATATAAAATCAAAATTCAAGATGAATAGCCCCCCACTCCCATGTTATTTTTTCATACAACGCATAATCTATAACAATTTTATTTAGAAAATTGGCTATTCGAACTATTTAGCGCACGCTTCCATTCTATGCGAAACCCACTCCTTCCTACCTTTTACCATACTATCCATGAACCAATTTTCTAATTAAAACAGCATAATAATTGTGCGTTGCATCAAAAAAACTTTAACAAAAAAATTAAACCGCCGAAAAAACTGAAAAGCAAAAAATNGTTTACCCTTTCCAATAAAACAAGAATTGCTAAAATCGGACTATTCCGTCAAAAGTTATGCGTGGTCATACATTACAATTAGTGAGTGAACAACAATCAACAATCATTCCCTGTTTTCCTACCTTCAGGGTTGGAATTATTTTTCTAAATTTATATGGAACCAACTTCGGGGTTTACCCTTTCCAATAAAACAAGAATTGCTAAAATCGGACTATTCCGTCAAAAGTTATGCGTGGTCATACATTACAATCAGTGAGTGAACAACAATCAACAATCATTCCCTGTTTTCCTACCTTCAGGGTTGGAATTATTTTTCTAAATTTATATGGAACCAACTTCGGGGTTTACCCTTTCCAATAAAACAAGAATTGCTAAAATCGGACTATTCCGTCAAAAGTTATGCGTGGTCATACATTACAATTAGTGAGTGAACAACAATCAACAATCATTCCCTGTTTTCCTACCTTCAGGGTTGGAATTATTTTTCTAAATTTATATGGAACCAACTTCGGGGTTTACCCTTTCCAATAAAACAAGAATTGCTAAAATCGGACTATTCCGTCAAAAGTTATGCGTGGTCATACATTACAATCAGTGAGTGAACAACAATCAACAATCATCCCTTATTTTCCTGGAATTATTTTTCCAAATTTATATGGAACCAACTTCGGGGTATACCTTTTCCATTAAAAATAGAATTATCAAAATCGTACTCTGTAAAAAGTTATGCGTGGTCGTACATAAAAAAAAATGTACGCGTCAACTTGGAACTTTCTCCTTTTTTTCGTCGGTTAAAAATACAGACAAGATACCCCATAACTCTATTCCTATACTTTATTTTCTTCTACTGCCGGGATGACCCGGACAACGTTGGGAATTACAGCTAATTCTTTTATAAGCACGCATCCCGTATGGACGCAATTACTGCAACATTTATTTTCGCCTAAACTAGTCAGAGTAGAAAAATACAAAAATTACCGTAACGGTGTCGACATATTTATATTCACAAATCATAAATATATCCGCATTTGCTACACTTTAACTAGGTAGCAAATCTGTAACCACAGTTTATTTTACGTTTTGAAATACAGTTTTGCAATAAACCATGGATCATTTTGTAACTAATATAAAAAATGGTAACCCCCTGTCCGAAAGACAGCATTTAAGCGGACCTTCTATAGGATATCACCAACCTTATGGGCCAATAGAGTACAATGGATTCGAAACAAACTAGTAAGTCCGTATTTTAATTTTTAAATTTTTAGAGAAAATAAATTACTCAAATATAAAACCGAATAAGTCACTCTATGAACTCCATAATGGTAGAGTTGTACGAATTGTGCAAAAATTATGCAATACTCTAGATGTCTAGATTAAACTTTACTTCAGATATCAGATGTATAAAAATTTATTTAGTTGAAAAGAAATTTTAATATTCCAACCATGTTCAGTAGACGACTCCGTTTATAGCATCGACAAAGTCTTATAAGTTGACTTTATACGCTATTCCGTACAAACTTCTTAGTTTATAACGTCTTAACTTACAGCAGCCAGTACAATTTTAACGACGCACAAAAATATTAAAATTATAATTGTTTACCTTAACTAATAAAAACCTTTCTCAAATATTAATATTGTTTGAAGAAGATTAAGTAATTATACAGTACATTTCTTCAATACTGTCGATTTTTCTAGTGTGAGCAATGAGTTTTGTACCCCTCCCACCCTAACTACGACCATGCACTTACGTTTATATGACTAAAATAATGCTTTCTATCTCCTCAGCCACCATAAATCGGGAAAGAAAAACAACATTGCAGTCTCAGCCATGACTTTGCTTGCATTTATGTTTTTCTTGAATATACTGCAAAACTGCATCAAAGAACACATGGACCAGACAAGTACGCCGACGAACATGGTAATGATGGTGGCGGCCCGACAAGAGCAAAGACAAGCGGAAAGAAGAAAAGACGAAGAAATGTTTGTTACAGACGATAATCTTTTTAAAAACACAAAAAAAGTCACAACTGATAAAACTGATTTAACGTATTCGATAAATCTTTCAAAATGTGAAGTCTTTACGAATGTTACCGTTAAAAATAAATGTATAGACCATATTTTAAGTGCATTAAATGTATAATCACTTACTTAAAGAATTCAATTACATTCTGTATATTAGAAAAGTTATTTTAATACATACTATTTTATAGTACCTAAACATTTAATTGTTTAATTATTGGTACCTATATATAATCTATTAAAATAACCTTCCAAGTTTATATTCGACCAACTTCGGAATATACCCTTTCCAATAAAACAAGAATTGCTAAAATCGGACTATTCCGTCAAAAGTTATGCGTGGTCATACATTACAATCAGTGAGTGAACAACAATCAACAATCATCCCCTATTTTCCTGGAATTATTTTTCCAAATTTATATGGAACCAACTTCGGGGTATACCTTTTCCATTAAAAATAGAATTATCAAAATCGTACTCTGTAAAAAGTTATGCGTGGTCGTACATAAAAAAAAATGTACGCGTCAACTTGGAACTTTCTCCTTTTTTTCGTCGGTTAAAAATACAGACAAGATACCCCATAACTCTATTCCTATACTTTATTTTCTTCTACTGCCGGGATGACCCGGACAACGTTGGGAATTACAGCTAATTCTTTTATAAGCACGCATCCCGTATGGACGCAATTACTGCAACATTTATTTTCGCCTAAACTAGTCAGAGTAGAAAAATACAAAAATTACCGTAACGGTGTCGACATATTTATATTCACAAATCATAAATATATCCGCATTTGCTACACTTTAACTAGGTAGCAAATCTGTAACCACAGTTTATTTTACGTTTTGAAATACAGTTTTGCAATAAACCATGGATCATTTTGTAACTAATATAAAAAATGGTAACCCCCTGTCCGAAAGACAGCATTTAAGCGGACCTTCTATAGGATATCACCAACCTTATGGGCCAATAGAGTACAATGGATTCGAAACAAACTAGTAAGTCCGTATTTTAATTTTTAAATTTTTAGAGAAAATAAATTACTCAAATATAAAACCGAATAAGTCACTCTATGAACTCCATAATGGTAGAGTTGTACGAATTGTGCAAAAATTATGCAATACTCTAGATGTCTAGATTAAACTATACT